CACTCCTGTGAGGCTCTTGTATCAGATGCATGGTTATACCCCTCGGTCATTATGGTGTTAGTAGACCAGAATGCCTTATTCACAGGCCAAAAACTTTTTGCCCGCTTCTCGGCTGGTTGTGAAGTAAATTCCTTGCTCAGGGAAATAAATCGTTAAGACAGATTTTGTCTTTTCCGAAATTCAAATTCGGCGCCTTAGGTGTTCAGACCACATTTTCACCACTGTGCCGCCCCCCCCCAGGCGACCAACAAGCTGTAAGCTGAATGCTCTTTGACAGTCCGCGTACTGGCAGTGAATACTGAGGTACTACAAAAGATTCAAAAATTTTACTCTGCTTACATAGTCTGTCGCTTCTTTATTTCGCTGATGTTTCGAAGTTTGATGAGAAATTGACGTACGAAATCATTTATGTTTAACTTCCCCTTCCACCAAATTCAAAATTCTCGATAATTATAATAATGCACCTATGACTAGTAGAAGGATCCATGTAGAACGATTCTTTCGAAGCAGTTATTCCTTTCCCTTCCCACTGTCAGTGAGTTCTAAGACTACTTCTACATTGTTGAATGTTTTGTAGTTCTGTTATTTATATGATGTTTATTGCTATCATATAATTTCTTAACTTAATACAATCCTTTGTTTGCGATATTTTTATGCCTGACTTTCGTATCACTCATTCAGTGAGGACATCATATGCTTCTCAGCCTTTATCCTAATTCTGTTATACTAAAAATGTATAATAATTATGAACAGATCCTTTTAGACTAAGCAGCAGTTTTCTCACTGAATGGTTTATGTGAAATTTAAGCATAAAATATCGCTGTATAAGCTTAAGAAATTGCATTGCTGAATGTTTTACGGTTTTGTTGTATTTGTGATTTTTTTCCGTGATTCTGTCATGTAATTTCCTGACTTAGTGCAATACTTTATTACGATAGTTCTCTGCTTAGTCTTCATATCACTCATCCAGTGTGAAGGAGAGATCCGCATGCTAAAAGTGATCTGTTCATAACTATATAATGCTGATGATTGTCTCAGAAATTTTGAGACTACAGTTTTCTTGAACGCTTGTTTCCAGGTGTATTTGGTGTGCTTCTCTGGGCCGCTGTATCGACTTGAATTCGTTTATCATATCGTTTCCATTCGGTCAGTGTGCACAGTGGCTCAACATTGAGGACCAGTGTGGAAGTAAGCACTTGTGTTTCTTATGTTTGAATTATTCTGTTGTACTGGAATCTTCTTTACTTAATTTTAATTCTAGCTGATTTGTTAATAATTCAGTCATAAAATTATTGATGTTTGTATTTCTAATCACGAAACATGTGACGAAATATCCTAAGACATCCAAAGATGTCCCAATGTTCAAACTACTTTGTTAGCAGTTGATGCACGGGACACAGGGCAAAGAAGATCTGAAGTGTATGGTTGCGTTCGTGGCGTTTTAATGAAGCATCGTTGCTGTTATCGTTTTATTGCAGTTGTGTTCAAACCATGAATCAGTCAACCGAAAATTAGTTGAATTCTCACCCAAAACCGAGAACTGTTTCAATGGTTCGAGTTGCTTTTAATTCACTACCATTCTTTCCTGTTCTAATACTAGAGCAAGCGTACTTCCATGTTTCATGGTATGCACTGGCACACTATGAAAATCATACGTTAGCCACCACTGGAGATGTTTAGCGCACTTATGACTGATGGTACTGTATCAGCCCCATTACTTTCCAGAGCATTGTGACTGATGACGTCATCCAGTGTTAGCACCAGCTATTTTCTATGAATTGCCTAAGACGCGGTACTCTGCATTACATTATAATTGCCATCTACTCCTAAGCATTCATCGCTTACGGACGCACATGGTCAGTTAGGAATTATCTTCTCCCGAAAATTCATTGGCCCTCTAGAAATAAGGAACAGCATAAAGCTGATCGTGAAGACCATTTGTACATGTATCATTTTATTGCCGAAATGTGTTCAATGGAGCCATGGTATATTAAATACTTTTGCTTCCATGTGTGATTCTAATAAGTGATTTTTCCTTGTCTTTTACTGCGAGGTCATTCAGCCATAAGGGGTTTATCTTGCGCTAACAATATGATAGCATTGGAAGTACAGCTCTGTTTGCCGTTGATTTTTCTTTAATTTATTCAGACGGCTTTGTTTCTAGAAATCGAGTGCTCGTCGTTTTTGACATGTGAAAGCTGTCAGCTGTTTTCGACACACTGTGGATGGTGCGACGACGGTTCTCGAACGGGCCTCGGCACTTGTTTACCTGGTGGCAACGACGGCCCCGTGGATTGGTACGTAACCAGCAGGAGTTTCAGGCGCAACAGCGACCTCTGTCCCTCGAAAAATTGGTACTTTGTTCGTTGTCCAGGCACGTCGGCGCTAGAAATTCCTTTAAATCGATATTCTACTTGTTTCTTTCAGAATGTCAATGCAACGGCCACGGTACTTGTGCGAACACTACTTATGCCGCCGATACCGATTCCGTTCCGCTCAAATGTTTATCCTGCCAAGACAAGACGATGGGTAAGCAGATCCGTGAGATAGTTTATACTGTGAAATTCTGCGAATGGTCTGTAAGTTCAGCTCAGCACCGTTTGTTTAACTCTAGTTAAGCAACTAACTTGATCTGTCACAGTGTTTGACCTCCAGACCGCATTCAGAGGTGTATTTCGCTGGTCTGTTGTTAATTGCAGCTGTATTTCTACAGAAATACTCCTTCATCATTCTTTTGTTAAAACAACCACTTCATGCCTTGGCGCAGCAACTTTAAATGTACAAAAAGTAGTGTTCTTAACATTAACAGTAATGATACCGGATTGAAACGGCGAATATGTACCGTGTTATAAACAAAAGTTTATTTTTTACGTTACACCGGCACTGGGGTAGTGTGAGATACATAAAAGTCCTACCGCAATATTGCACCGCCCCTTGCTTTTGTTCATCTATGAGGTCATTTACGCAGGCCTCTCCCCATGGAGAGAGGTTTACATGTTCTTGAATCGTCACAAGTAAAAGCTTGCCTGCCATCATAAACTGATATGAACTAACTTCGTTCTGACACCATAAATAGTCCAGATTTTTCACTCGTCACTTCCTTCACTGTTTAGTGTGATTTACAGCTACTGTTTTTGTCTTTATATGACAGGTTGTTGTCGTTTTATCAGCGGAGCTCTGATTATGCTACTGTGTTATAGCGAAATGTTGGGAATAAAAGTTTTTTCGATCGACTTCGGTGCTCTCAAAAATGGACGGATAGTTTTGGCACTAATGAGATAAAGCCATTTACTCCGACAGTCATAGGAATGGGCTACCTTCACTTCGTCCCATCGCAGACCTCAGATACGCACTTCTCTTAGACGTTTATTATTTCAGTCATACCAATATGCTGGCTGTCGTATAAAAGTTTTATAACGCATTACTAACTAAATACAAAGTGGCACATTGGCGTTAGTATAAGTAGATCTGCCGTAACTTCACAGATTTCACGCTGCGTAGTCGTGCCATCTTCTTGCTTCTATTGGCTTGGTATATTGTTGTCTTGTGGCCACGCACACTGCAGGTGCTGAAATACCATGGAGTCGAGATCGGTTTAATCGGTTCTGTAGATTACTAGAAGCAACGGAATGGTCAATGCGCTGTGTAAATCCGGAGAATGACAACAGAATTCGTAACAAGACTTGGTTTTGTGCACGTAGGCATGGATGGAATGCTATTTTAAACATTGATGTAGTATATTAATTACTTTTTACTAGTCAATATGTTGAACAGAACTACCGATCTGCTTCATCCGAAATAGTTTTGCGTTGCTATTTATTTAGAAAGGTTAAAAATATATTCACTGAAGTGTTGCACGCTAAAGCTCCGCTGTTGTAAGTTCGTTACAGAATGCTAGCGTTCGGTATCACTGGCCAGACTGACGATCTCCCTCATATCACCTCACGGAATTTACCGGGAAAGTTGCGCGTTCCTTCTCCTTTTAGCGGCCGTCTAGGGGATGTGTTTTAGCATCTGTAATGCATCGGTACAAAAGCGTACATATTTTTGAGCGCTTTTACTTTGCACGCCTTTGTCGTGCACAGTGTTGTCGGGGAATGAGTGTTTAACATTTTGACTGTAGTTGTGTAATGCCGGGTACCGAAGGCAGAACTGCGTTTTTTTATGAGGGTCGTTGATGTGACTTGCCCATACGAGCTTCGAAGCATGATCGTTCGAGATACCCTCGATTTTGAGCCGTTATTTTCTAACTTCCATAATAGAAATGCATGTGATGTAAATTGTTTCGGTATGCATTATAGATGCCAGGGCCGATGGACCAGCAAAATTGCCTTTCTTCGCAAAATCGCATGGCAGACGGTCGGTTTGCCGTTGT